GGAGAGGCGGGGGGCTGGGTGGCAGCGGGTGGCTGGCTCGAGCCGTGCTAGGTGCAGGGTCTGCTGGCTCGGTGCTGGCAGGCTTGCACCTGGCACGGGCACCGTAGCCAGACTGTGCCCCTTTAAGGGCTCCAGGGCCGGGAGAGGGGCAGATGAGTTTCCCTGGTTTGGCCCAGAGTGGCCACCAGGGCAAGCTGGGGAGGGCTAGCCTCCCACTAGTTCGAATTAAGTCGCTACACAGCCCTTAATTCGAATTACTTAATTCAAACTAGGCGTTTCTCCTCGTAGAATGAGGTTTACCTAGTTCGAATTAAGCGCTCCGCTAGTTCGAATTAAGTTCAAACTAGCAGTTTGCCTGTGTAGCTCCTATAAAAGTTAATTCGAACTAATGGCTGTTAGTTCGAATTAACTTTGTAGTGTAGACATACCCAAACAGACTTTGATGGACCACTCCTGGAATAAATATTGTCACATCACAAGCAGTATTATGCAGTGGGGCCAGACCTGAAGAGTTCCCTACAGCCTGACTAGACTTGTCCTTCTCCTGCACATTGAGGATTGAAGTGCTTTCAAGTGCAGATATGTAGCAACTTCTGCCTTTGAGGGTCTTAGGGCAGAAAAATTTTCCTCCATGCAGCTGGCCCCTTCCAGAAGGCTTGGAAGGGGCTCCCACATCTGTGGGCTCTTTTGACTGCGGTCATCACACCACACTGAAAATATCTGCTCATCCAACCCTAAGTGGTGTACGAGCAAATTTATAAAGAATATTTCTCAGATACAGCTAAAAGTACAATAGTCATTCTTTTTCCTTCTCTTTCACTCTCCATCCAGGAGCTCAAAGCCCTTTGTACACTTGGATGACTTATGCCGTACAGCTGGTATTATTCCTCCTACTCTATAGAAAAGTCAATTGAGAAATGGAGAATTCAAGTGAATTGCCCAAGGCTACATGCTGAGGCAGCAGCAGAACCAGAATTAGTACCTATGTATCCTGGCCCCCAGACATTTGAGATTTCACAACCTTCCTAGGCAATTTATTCCAGCACCTTTACTCCTGACTGTGTTCCCATTTCCCAGAGCTGTGGCCCTGCTTTCAGAACCAGCTGGGGGGAGAGGGATGCAAACAGGGGGAGGGGTGTAATCCTGAAAAGTTTGGGGACCACTGGTCTAGTGGTTATAACACTGTACTGAAAATTAGGAGAGCTGGGTTCTGTTCCTTCATCTTCTGTCTATGATCTTGAGCAAATCTCTTCATGCCTCTGTTTCTCCTCCCACCCTTTATCTTGTCTATTTCTCCTGTAAGCTCTTTGGGGCAGGGACTGCCTCTTTCTTGTTAATGTTTGCCCAGTGCTCAGCACAATGGGACCTCGATTTCATACAGCTAGGGGTTCTGGCACTTCCATAATGTAATAAACAATTCAGGCCACCTCATTAGTCCCATACATGTGTATCCCTTTGCAGTAGAAATAACCCGGTGTAGAAGTGTCATGTGAAGTTCTAGGTCAGTCTGTAACAGTGATTGGGTGAATGGAGAACAATCTCCTAAAGAGCTGCCTCTACCCCCCTACACTGCTCTATGCTCCCTCCTCTGGTGTGTCACCTAGAGATCGAACTACAAATCTCCTGAACTTTGCCTTGCTCCACCATCAGAAGGTTTCTCTGTGAAGCCTGACAACTAATTGGTCTCTTACAAGAGAAACAGTTTTCAAAAGGCTCCTTTCATAGATTGTATTGGCTCTCCTGCCACAGAAACTGTGGGGCCTGATGCTGATTGGACTTACAGCAGCTTGGCACCCCCACAGAGTCATTCCCCATTGACACCAGCATGAATGAGATCAAAAGCAGGCACGGAGGGAGGATGCTGATGCAAACATGAGGTCATTTGTGAAATGTTTATGCCATGTGCCACTTTAGCAGCTTTGTGAGCACTGTGTAGAATTCTCGGATGGCTTGGAGCACCGTGCTGAGATCTTTATTTCCACTGAGCCCACCCATTCTGGCAATATTTACTCCCGCAGCGGAGAAGGAATCACTAGCCGAGTATAAATTAAACAGCGTAAACTACGGAGGGGGTTAAAAC